GGGGGGGGGGGGGGGGGGGCGGGGGAGGAGACGGGGCTGGCCCGGGCCCGCCCCGCCCAGTTGCCATCTCTAAGAAGGGTCATCACCCATATCTTATTCGACATCCTATTCATGATGGTATTGTGAAGATGCAATTGCTAAGATATCTTCATCCGGTATTTTACCACCAACAATTTATTGCTCCTCATCTGAATTTAAGAGGGTATTAATAGATACTGGATGATGGTAATTACAAGTTCTTGTTCTATTGCTTGTTCCTCTTAGAATTTCTTTTTTCATGATTTTCCTCTTCAAAGAACCTGTACTTAAAAAGGTACTTGGCTATTATTGTGCTCGAAATGTTGTTCCGTGTTGCTTTAGGTAGAAAAAAAATAATATAACATGAAATAATTTTTAATAAATTACTATGCAGTCGGATCATATTAATTTAGAGAGGTAAGGCTTTATCTCCTAAAATAAGATTGATACCTAAAATACCATTGGAAAGAAAAAGACAAAATTTTCTATCATTAGTTGTGGTTAATTTTCTAGTAAACTATAAAAAAATGTGTTATATACAGGGCTCGTTCGATTTATTTAAAATTTTAATCATATAAATTTACTCATTTTATTTATAGTAGTATTACTTTTATGAATATGTGTTTTTAGATGAACTATATGTAATGTATAGTTAAATATCAATGATCAAAAGGAATATTATGATATTATTTTGAAATATTATAATGAAAAATATATCAAATTAACATAGCATTACATTATATAACATGACGATCATTTAATAATAAATTTTGAAAATATATAAAGTCTTAATAAATTAACATATACTATTTTTAGCTAAGTTTTACTTGAATTGTAAAAAGTATATTTAATATCTTGTTTTTATTTTATAAATAGACAAGTTTGTATTTGTTAATATTTAAATCATTTATTATCAAATTCTTCAACGAATATTCCATTTAAAGTTCCACTAACTTGCACTCTCACAATAATTAAGTTGATAAAATAAACTCAAATAAACATATAAAAATGCATTTAAGTTTTCAAATTCAAAAATCAAGTGCAAGGTTTATTTAACCAAGCATCAGGTAATAATTAAATTTATAAATATTAATAATAATAATATAAA